GTGGGGGGCACTGGGGAGAGCCAGGGCAGGGATGTGGGGGGCACTGGGAGGGCAGGGGCGTGGGGGCACTGGGAGAGCCGGGGCAGGGGCATGGAGGGCACTGGGAGAGCGAGGGGCGTGGGGGCACGTGGGAGGGCAGGGGTGTGGGGGGCACTGGGAGAGCCAGGGCAGGGGCGTGGGGGGCACTGGGAGGGCAGGGGCGTGGGGGGCATTGGGAGAGCAGGGGCATGGGGGGCACTGGGAGAGCCGGGGCAGGGGTGTGGGGGGCATTGGGAGAGCCGGGGCAGGCAGTGAGAGGAGCTGGACCCACTCCAGGGTCTCTCGCTCTCTAGGATGGGGGATAGGGTGTGAGGCTGGACCCGAGCATGGCAGGCTGGGAGGAGGCCAAGTGGGACGTTTCCCGTCTGAGGTTATTTGGGGCCGATGATGGTGCTGGCTCCGCAGGGCTCCTGGAGTGAGTGGGCTGCCCCACCAGTGGAGACGCCTCCCTCGGCAGCAGCATCTGGGTGTTCAGTCTGGGCATGCAGACTGCAGGCCTGGGAGCTGCTCTGGGGAGGGGCAGCCCCTCACTCCCTGGCTGGGGACCCCTGAGGGGATGGGGAGGGCTAAGCACCGTACCTGGAGCTTCCTCCACTGGCCTTGGGAATAATTCATCCTTCCTTCGTGTGGGGTGCTGGCTCTGCCTCCCCATCCCGTGTCCCCATGGGCCCTAGCTGAGGGCTGGCCCCACTGTCAGTGCAGGTGGGGCCGGATGGACACGGGGGTTGCCAGGACATTTGGCTCCGGCTCTTGCCCACCCCTTAATCCTGGGAGCTTGTTCCCCTGGAAACTGGAGCCTCCCTGCTCTCGCTGAAGGTCGCTGCTCCCCAGCTCTTCACGGCTCCAGCTCCAGGGTCAGAGCCATCTGCACACTGGGCAGGCCACGAGGCGCCCATCCTGGGGAGGGGAAAGCAGGCAGCCTGGGTTCCTGCCATCGGTAGCGTGGGATTTGGGGCAGTCTAGGACCCACGGGGTGGTCAGGAATGGGGTCTTTGCTGGGCTGGGCTGGGCTGCCCCTGGAGCCGGGAGGTTCTGGACCTGGTTCCCTGTCCCCAGCACCCGGCAGGGCCTCACTCTGCTCTGGGATGGACCCCAAAGGGCCTGTCCCGGGGCGAGGGGCTGGAACATGGCCAGCTGGGTGCACAGCAGCGTGTGCGTCACCAGACGGCTTTGCTGCATCTCCAGCCGGCACACCCAGCGCTCGCTGCTGGAGACCAGCTAATCCCGGGGGCCTTGGCAGAGATACTAGCAGGCAGAACCTTGCTCCGGGATCAGCGGCTCCGCCCGCCCTCTCCCCTTGTCCTTGCACCCCCGCTCCGCACAGGATGCAGGGCCAGGCTGAGAGAGTGGGAAGAGCCAGTCCTAGGCCATTAGCTCTGTCCAGCCCCCCTGGCCAGAATGTGTGTGTGAGAGCACCTTGCTGCAGGGCCAGGGAGGAGAGACGGGGACGGGCAGGAGAATGGGTCGGCCATGGCTCATGTAGCCTGCTGCTTCCCCAGAAGGGCTGATGGGTGCAAGGAGGTGAGATTAGCAAGCGAACCACCCCCCTTCCTGGTGCCTCTGCCCCATCCCCTGCCCCCCAGGTGTCCAGGGAGCATGGGGACACAGATCCCAATCTCCTCAGGCTGACTCAGGACTGAGGCTTCTGCAGCTCCTCGCTGGTGTTGGGTGCTGGGCCAGCAGAAGCCATGAGATCTAGGCTGGCAGGAGCTGGAGGGGGCACTCCTGGAGGTGGGGATGTGGAGCCTGGGTCAGTGTGGGTTCAGGGGACGTGCTACCCTGGGATTCCCAGGCAGTCTAGGTACCTTCTTCCATCTGCACTTGGTGTCCTGATCTCCTGGTGTGATGCTGGCAGCCCAGCGCCAGCTCATGTCACGGTCCCCATGTCTCAGTGGGACTCCAAGTACGTAGCTGGGACCAGTCCGGCTCAGCTGGGTGTTCGTGTTGTTACAGTAGAGTGATAAGGGCGTGTTTGGTGTTCATACTATTGAATGCTGGTGAGTGCAGCGTTAATCTCACTTCTAGCAGCCGGCTCCCATGTGGTAAGGGAAAACTTGAGCCTTTGCATTGTGAGAACATCAGAACGGCCAGACTGGGTCAGACCAAAGGTCCCTCTAGGCCAGTGTCCTGGCTTCGGCCAATGCCAGGTGCCCCAGAGGGAACAGGGAATCATCCAGTGACCCATCCCCTGTCACCGATCCCAGATTCTGGCAAACAGAGACTAGGGACACCATCCCTGCCCAGCCTGGCTAATAGCCATTGATGGACCTGTGACGTTGCACTCCATATGTTTTATGGAAATATACTTATGAGTGTGAATATGATGTAACTGGAATATGCTGTATGCAAAAGGGCTCTTGTAAGGTATCATAACAAAGGTTATAACCTACCAAATATATTCCTCCTATTTGTATGTATGTATCATTCTTGTATCTCAAACTAGAAATATGAAGTATAACCTGATACTGGAATCCATCTTAAATCTGGTACTTTTCCATTTAGAAGGAGGGCTGGGGACCCAGGGAGACAAAAGAGTCCCGCCTTGTGCCAAAGCTATAAAAGGGGGTGGAACAGGACAAAGGGGTGTCCAGTCATGAGAAAGCCCCTGTTTTCCACCTAAGATGCCTGCTGGAACTAACAAGGACTGTACCAGGGGAAAGGATTGGGCCCAGACTAGGTAGGAGTCTAGTCTGTGAAAGAAGCTTATTGGAACATCTCTGAGGGTGAGATTTTACCTGTAATCAGTTTCTTAATGTATTAGGCTTAGACTTGTGTGTTTTTGCTTTATTTTGCTTGGTGACTTACTTCGTTCTGTCTATTATTACTGGAAACCACTTAAATCCTACTTTTTATACTTAACAAAATCGCTTTTGTTTATTAATGAACCCAGAGTAAGTGATTAATACCTGGGGGAGCAAACAGCTGTGCATATCTCTCTAGAGGGGGGACAATTTATGAGTTTACCCTGCACAAGCTTTATACAGAGTAAAACGGATTTATTGAGGGTTTGGATCCCATTGGGAACTGGGTGTCTGGGTGCTGGAGGCAGGAAACCTGCAGAGCTGTTTTCACTTAAAGCCCGCAGCTTTGCGGATGTGGCCCAGACCCTGGGTCTGTGTTGCAGCAGGCTAGCATGTCTGGCTCAAGGGTTCCGGGAGTCCCAAACTGGCAGGGAAAATGGGCTCAGAGGTAATCTCAGCACATCAGGTGACAGTCCCAAGGAAGTCTCTGTGACCGAACCCGTTACAGGATCTATCCTCCATGAACATATCTAGTTCTTTTTTGAATCCTGTTATAGTCTTGGCCTTCACAACATCCTCTGGCAAGGAGTTCCACAGGTTGACTGTGCATTGTGTGAAGAAATACTTCCTTTTATTTGTTTTAAACCTGCTGCCTATTACTTTCATTGGGTGACCTCTAGTTCTTGTGTTATGAGAATGAGTAAATAACATTTCCTTATTTACTTTCTCCACACCAGTCATGATTTTATAGACCTCTATCATATCCCCCCTTAGTCTTCTCTTTTCCAAGCTGAAAAGTTCCAGTTTTTTTAATCTCTCCTCAAACGGCAGCCATCCCACACCCCTCATAATTTTTGTTGCCCTTTTCTGAACCTTTTCCAATTCCAACATATCTTTTTTGAGATGGGGCGTCCACATCTGCACGCAGTATTCATGATGTGGGCGTACCAGGGATTTATATAGAGGCAATATGATATTTTCTGTCTTACTATCTATCCCTTTCTTAATGATTCCCAACATTCTGTTAGCTTTTTTGATGCTGCTTTGACTTGACAGCTTCATGCAGCCGGTTTGGGGGTCTGCGTGACAGCCTAGTCCACAATGTAACTACCTTCACAGTTAGAACATTTCTCCTGATATCTATCCTAAATCTCCCCTGCTGCAGACTAAGCCCATCACTTTTTGTCCTGCCTCCAGTGGACATGGAGATCCATTGATCCCCGTCCTCTTTAGAACAGCCCTTCACAGATTTGAAGACTGGTGTTAGATCCCCCCTCTGTCTTCTTTTCTCAAGACTAAACATGCCAAGGTTTTTTTTAACCTCTCCTCACAGGTCGGGTTTTCTAAACCTTCATCGCTTTTGTCACTCTCCTCTGGACTCGCTCCAATTTGTCCACAACTTTCCTGAAGTGTGGGGTCCAGAACTGGACACAGTGCTCCAGCTGAGGTCTCATCACTGCCGAGTGGAGTGGGACCGTTACCGCCTATGTTGTATCTACGACACTTCTGATTATACCCCCCAGAATGACATTAGCCTTTTTTGCAACTGCACCACATTTTTGACTCTCCGTCCGTGATCCACTCGAATCACCAGGTCCTTTCCAGCAGTACAACCACCTAGCCAGCTATTCCCCACTGTGTAGTTGTATGTTTGAGTTTTCCTTCCTAAATGAAATACTTTGCACTTGTCTATGTCGAATTTCATCTTGGTGAATTCAGATCTGTTCTCTAATTTGTCAGGGTTGTTTTTAATTCGAATCCTGTCTCCGGCTGCTTGCAACCCCCCATCTGCAGATTGTATGAGCACATTCACCTGGGACTCACCCTCTGGGACCCCAGTAGATACGTCCTTCCAGTTTAACAGTGAAGCATTGGTTTGATTTTGGTCTTTCAACCAGTTGTTCACCCAACTTCCTAGTGATTTCATCTCAACCATGTTTCCCTAGTTAGCTGATGAGGATGTCAGGTGGGACTGTGTCACGGAGTGGGGGAAAAGTCAGGGCCCTGCACCCCCGTTCCTGTGATTCACCGGGACTCTCAGCCAGCCAGTAACACAGAAGGTTTATTAGACGACAGGAACACAGTCCCAAGTAGAGCGTGTAGGTACAACCAGAACCTCTCAATCAAGTCCTTCTGGGGGGGTTAGACCCCAGCTTGGGGTTCCCTGCGTTGCACCATCCAGCCCAAAATTGAAACCTCCTCCAGGAGCTCTCTCCCCCCCCTCCCCCCTGCTCCTCCTCTCCTTTGTCCAGAAGGTGTCACTTCTCCCACCCCCCTCCTGGCTCAGGTTACAGCTCAGGGATCTTCCTTCAAGGGAAGTCCCCATCTCCAATGTAACTTCCCTGCAACATTCCCAGGTCAAATCCGCCCCGCTCCGTCACAGACTGCGAAAAGTGTTACTGAACGGTTACATGGTCACTGGACCTCTCCTGCATGGCCAGGGCCCACCCCTGGGGTACGCTGGCCGCTGAGGCCTGCAGCTCTGCACCGCTAGCTGGAGTGCTGGGTGTCACGGAGCTGGACCGCAGGTGCAGTGCGCTGTGTCCTGGAGGGGCCAGTTCCTTGTGCATGTAGGTGGGACAGCGTTAGGCTGTGTGGGTGGCTGGGCCAGGCCGAACTGCAGCTGCGTGTCCTGGCTACCCACAGATTGTGTCTTGGTGTTGTCACAGATCCACAGGGTTGGTGCTATGCCCCCAGCTTTGGAACAGTCTCTTGGGGGAGCCCCTTTGATGGGCCAGACCCTCTGGGGGTTCTCTTTCCCTTTAGGGTCAGCCACACGCTCTCACCACCTCCACAGACTGAACCTCTGGGGCTCCAGCCCTCCTGCTTCACAGCGGGAGCTCTGCCCAGCGAGTCCAACTGCGACAGCCTGGCAGAGACTCACCCACTCTGCAGGGACTAAGCACCTCGCCCAGCGGCTGCAGGGACACACGCTGTGAAAACAGGCGGGTTTATAGTCACCTGGACATGCCTAGGGAGGCTTTCGGGCAGCACAGAGAAATGATGGTCCATGCTGGTCAGCCCAGAGCACTTCACCAGCCCCACTGCCGTGAAGCCCAGTTCAGGCTCGCTCTCTCCCTGACTTCCTTCCTTAGTTCCTGGGTGAGGGAGCTCTGGCACCTCTCAGAAGCCAATTCCTTAGTTCCCCCCTCACACCTTCCAGTCCTTTGTGGTGGGGTTTCTCCACCTGCCTCCTGCTGAGAGGTGTGGGAATCCTCTTCCCTCTGTGGCCTTGGTTGCTAGGTGTCCATATCCTGGTGACTGGACTTGCCATTGTATTCTGGAATTTTCCATTGATATGGGTCAGCACCAGCCAATCCTTTTTAATGACCCCGGTCAGCTCAGTCAACTGGTTACACCCTCTCCCCATATCTCTTAGCCTGCCCAGTGAGCAAACTCAATCCTCCCACAGGTGGGGAACCATGCAACGTATAAGGGAAACCTAGGCACACATAGGACTCATAAAAATATCACAAAAAAATTCCAACTCCGTCACAGCCCATGATGACCCTCTTCCCCCAGAACTGGACCTGCACCTCTGGGCCTCCTGAAATCAATGGGGCTCCTCCCCAGGAGAAAGGCAGCAAGATGGAGCCCAGAGCTGGGGTTTCCCGCTCTGTGCTCCAGGCTGGGATAGTCCTCCCAGTAACCTACCATGTTTTGGCCCTCCCTGCCGCCATGTGGCACCGCACCGGTGGGAGGGGTTTGCCCCCACCCAGCACATCTCTTCCATAATATCTCAGCCCACCTTGGACCACTGGTGACGTCTTAGGTCAGGCCACACAGGCGTCACTCAGCCCTTCCAAGCATTTGACAGCAGCTCGAAAAGAAATGCCTCTGCTAGCCCCTTTGGGCGACGGCTGCCATGGGGCCGGTGAGCTGCCTGCATGGGCGGCGTTCAAAGGCAGCCGCCGAAGGCTTTCCCATGGAGCAGGGTCCGAGCCCCAAACCCTCGGCGAGGGAACTGACGAGGCAGGAGGCTCGCGAGTGGGTTATCAAACCTTCCCGCAGTGGCCAGGGGAGGAGAGGGTCAAAGCAGGCAGGGCTCACACAAGGCCGGGGTGAGCTGTGGGCCCAGGGAATGCAGAATTGGGCTAGAGAAGTGCAGCACTATCCGTCCCACGGGTTCCCTCTGCTGCCCAGCCGTGGTAACGACAAGGCTCTGCTGCCGTTTACACGGTCCCAACCCCACAGCAACGCGGCTCAAGCCAGGGGCCAGATGCTCAGCTGGTTTATTCCGCACAGCTTCAGTGGGTTAGTCAGGGAATTACGCTGATTTAACCCAGCTGTGGAGCTGGGGCCTGGCGCCAAGCAAGCCGGGACTCCGGCCAGGTGAGTGAAGGGGAGCAGGATGGGGCCTGCAGTTTCCAGAGCTCTGTGCTCCAGCGGCCAGCACAGGGTGAGCAGCGAGTGACATGCAGCTTCAGGAACAGCTGTTGAACTGCCAAAGGAGGACGATGAATCGGTAGGAAATGCATTTTATTTAAGGCTTCCTAGAAGGTGGGTGTTACAACCAGTTACAGGATGGGCTGACAGGGCAGTAGCTGTGCCCTGAGAGGAGAACAAGCGCTTTGACTGGCTGATTTGTATCGCACTGCCCAGCGCCCGGGGGACAGTGTGTCTAATCAGTGGTGAAAGAAAACTGCGGGCTCATGGGTTTATTGAGAAGTGGCAAAGGTTGCATCCAGTGGGGTCAGCCCAGCTGAGCAGGGGAATTGCAATTCCTAATCCCCCCCCCCCCCCAATGTGGGTGGCTTAGTGCAAAGCATTGTTTCACCAATACTAGTATTGTAACGGTTCTTGCACAACAGCCTGTGGTAGCAGCAGCTATTTTGTGGCTGGCAATGTGGGGCACATTCAGGCCTAGTGGTTCAGTCATGGGCCCCCTCCTGGCCCATGTGACTCCTGCTTTGTGTTCTGAAGAAATACCAGGACATTCGCCCAGGAGGCCTTGCTGTCTGAGCAGAGCAGGGCATCCCCTGGACTGTTCCCCGACGGGGGGACGGGGCTCGGCAGCCCTAGATTCACGGGGCAGAAGGGACCAGGGATCCCCCAGGCTGCCCCTGAGTACAGCACGGGCCAGAGACCTGCCGCAGGAGCAGACCTTGGAGCAAAACATCCCATCTTGATTTCAAAATTGCCTGTGATGGAGCCTCCGCCACAGTCCTGCCTGTTCTCTGCCTGTGGCACGTAACAGCCCAGTCTCCCGTGGGCTGTAATACGTTGGTCTCATTTTGGGGGGGCCTAGCAGGTGGTGCTGGTGGCCAATGCTATACGGGAGGTCAGGCTGGTGATCGAATGGCCTCTTCTGGCCTTAACCTCTCTGACTCTCTGGGGCCACACGATCCCTTTTAGCACAAACAAACCTGGAGGGAGCCAAGAGCTGCCAATTTCTGCCACTTTTACTGAGCATCTCGTGATATTTGGTGCTTCTCTGTAAGGCCCAGCTCCTGGAGTCCTGTGATTATGGGAGAATTTCAGCTTCCATTAAAAGGATGAGTAGGGTTTTTAGCCTCTCTGGTTGGCAGCAGGACCCACAGCTCACGTAGCGTGCTCTGGCCTGGGCTGAGGGGGCTGCCTGACGAAAAGCAGATGTTTGGGCACACCGTAGGGTGAGTGGGGTTGCTCTGACTCCTACCTCGGTCCTGACCACGCCGCCCACCTCGGTGAGCACAGACTGCAGCTCAGGTGAACTACGGCAGTTCAGCTTGTCTGTGCACCGGGAAACGTCCGGCGCCCCTTTGTGACACGCTCCCCCATGCTGGCCTGGGCCTCTGCTCTGTGCTGGGAGCAGGTGACCCCACGTGGGCTCTGGGGTAGATCCTCGGGCTGCATGGTGTGGTTACACCTCGCAGTGAAGATGCAACAGGGTTACAAACAAGAGTCAAACCATTGCAGTGAAACCGGCGCTAATCTTCCCTGGCCTAAGTCACAGCTCCGCTGCACAGAGAGCCCCTAACCCCTGCACCCCCATTGCTTCCCGGGGCCCCCAGAGAGAGGCTGCCGGCTATTAACAGCGTTCACTCCGTCAGAACTGCTGCTTGGGTGACTTTCCCATAAATCCCTTTCAGCTCCCAGTCCAGGTGTGCCGGGCCGGCCCCACTCGGTCCCTCGGCAGCACTCCACTGTGTGACCCATGAGCACCCCTCCTCTCCTGCCCAGCCCCACCCACCCAACCCGCTGGCACACGGTGCCACGGCACAGGACCGACTCTGGCTTCCTAGGTGCTGACGGCCCCCGGGGTCGCTCTTGTCTCCGTAAAGAAGCTCTTGAGCAGCAGGACTTGGCTGACGCTGACCACGAGGAGGAGGACGGTCTCCCCCACAGACCAGTAGGAGACGTGGTTGTTCAGCTCTTCAGCCCGGCTCCGGTCCTGAGCCTCCCGCAGCCGGTAACGAGTCTGGGAGTCGATCACGGTATTTAAAGCTTCGTGAATGGTGACACAAGCAGATTCCATCTGGGGAAACAAACACACCCCCCTTGGTACCTGCATCACTACACACAGCTGGGCCCGGCTGGGACAATCGGCTAGTCGCTATATTCTGATGAGGGAGTAAAATACCATCCCCCCATGTCAGAGAGCCACAGAGGCGTCACGGGACAGCCCAGGAGGGGCAGAGGAGCGAGTCTCTGGCTAGAGACCGTGCTACTTCTACCTGCAGGCCCAAGTTTTCCAAAGTGGTCTCTGATTTTGGGTGCCCAACCTGAGGTAGCTGGGGCCTGCTTTTGGAGGTGCTTAGCACCCAGAGCTCTCCAGCTGGGGTCAGTGGGAGCTGCAGGTGCTGATCGGGCTCAGCTGTGCAGGGCTGAGAACTGGAGGTACACACACACACACACACACACACACACACACACCACCCTATATTGTACAAGAGTGGTCGTTTGGGGTGTGTGTGTATTGTGTGTGTACGTACGTGCTCACATTGCCTCTCTCTCTCTCCTTGTAGATAACACCAAGCCAACGCATGGACCCAAAGGCCTCTCTCCCGGCCCCCAGC